TCCTTCCAATGATTGGTAAGCCGGAATCCATCTTCTCGGTTGAAATTGTCTCTGTGTTTGTATATGTGGATAGCCTCATGAATGAATCTCTCATGGTAGCCAGATGGCTTGCAAAGAACCTCTGTCTTGGAGAAGTCAATGTCATGTGAGCCTACTGAATTATAACAGTGATCTGCCACGGCCGAGGTGTTGGTCCTACCGTGTTTTAGGTCTGCTTTGTGTTCACGAATGCGGTCCGAGACATGTCGTTTGGTTTCTCCAATGTAACTACTACCACAGAGGCAACTTAGTTTGTAGACGCCAGGGTACTGTATGTCCGGAATCACATATTTTACAGACGGAACCAGATCACAGATTTTATGTAATGTGTTGAATCGGACCTGGATCTTGTGTTTATTCAAGATTTTGGAGATTTTTTCTGTGATCCCCGCAATGTATGGTAAAGTGATGGTTTTGAAAACTATCCAAAGATTCCACACTGCCCCATAGACTCGACACTGCCCATAGACTCAACACTGCACTGTAGACTCAGCACTGCCCATAGACTCAGCACTGCCCATAGACTCAACACTGCCCAAAGACTCAACACTGCCCATAGACTCAACACTGCCCATAGACTCAACACTGCCCATAGACTCAACACTGCCCATAGACTCAACACTACCCATAGACTCAACACTGCCCATAGACTCAACACTGCCCATAGACTCAACACTGCCCATAGACTCAACACTGCCCATAGACTCAACACTGCCCATAGACTCAACACTACCCATAGACTCAACACTGCCCATAGACTCAACACTGCCCATAGGCTCAACACTGCCCATAGACTCAACACTGCCCCATAGATATTCTTGGTTCTTTCGGTAAAGTCACGTAGAAGGGAAACAATAAAATAATAAAAATATAAAAGAATAAAATTATAACGACATTTCGACTGCAACACAAGCAATCATCATCAGGTGTGAAAACCACAGCAAGAAAATTTGAAAAAAGTGGCGTTTTTTTAACGTTAGTACCACGGAGAGCGATTTGGCAGTTATTCAGATGGACGAGTCCATCTATGTTCGGAAAAGAGGAGGGGGGAGACGAAAATAATGGATGCGGTCTTAAAGCCACCGTAAGCGTAAACAATCAATTAAGACCCGAAATGGTTGATAAAATCCTTCCAATGATTGGTAAGCCGGAATCCATCTTCTCGGTTGAAATTGTCTCCGTGTTTGTATATGTGGATAGCCTCATGAATGAATCTCTCATGGTAGCCAGATGGCTTGCAAAGAACCTCTGTCTTGGAGAAGTCAATGTCATGTGAGCCTACTGAATTATAACAGTGATCTGCCACGGCGGAGGTGTTGGTCCTACCGTGTTTTAGGTCTGCTTTGTGTTCACGAATGCGGTCCGAGACATGTCGTTTGGTTTCTCCAATGTAACTACTACCACAGAGGCAACTTAGTTTGTAGACGCCAGGGTACTGTATGTCCGGAATCACATATTTTACAGACGGAACCAGATCACAGATTGTATGTAATGTGTTGAATCGGACCTGGATCTTGTGTTTATTCAAGATTTTGGAAATTGTTTCTGTGATCCCCGCAATGTAGGGTAAAGTGATGGTTTTGAAAACTATACAAAGATTCCACACTGCCCCATAGACTCGACACTGCCCATAGACTCAACACTGCACTGTAGACTCAGCACTGCCCATAGACTCAGCACTGCCCATAGACTCAACACTGCCCAAAGACTCAACACTACCCATAGACTCAACACTGCCCATAGACTCCACACTGCCCTATAGACTCAACACTACCCATAGATTCAATACCACCCGTAGACTCAACACTGCCCATAGACTCAACACTACCCATAGACTCAACACTGCCCATAGACTCAACACTGCCCACAGACTCAACACTGCCTGTAGACTCCACACTGCCCATAAACTCAACACTGCCCATAGACTCAACACTGCCCATAGACTCAACACTGCCCATAGACTCAACAATGCCTTTAGACTCAACACTGCCCACAGACTCAACACTGCCCACAGACTCAACACTGCCCATAGACTCCACACTGCCCCATAAACTCCACACTCCCCATAGACTCAACACTGCCCGTAGACTCAACACTGCTACCCATAGACTCAACACTGCCCATAGACTCAACACTACCCATAGACTCAACACTGCCCGTAGACTCAACACTGCCCGTAGACTCAACACTGCCCGTAGACTCAACACTGCCCATAGACTCAACACTACCCATAGACTCAACACCGCCCATAGACTCAACACCGCCCATAGACTCAACACCGCCTATAGACTCCACACTGCCCCATAGACTCCACACTGCCCCATAGACTCCACACTGCCCCATAGACTCCACACTGCCCTATAGACTCAACACTCCCCGTAGACTCAACACTGCCCATAGACTCAACACTGCCCATAGACTCAACACTGCCCTCACCCCTCCACTTCTTCCCGTCCCTCCCCTGTAGCCCTTGCGTGATCTCCCGAGTACCCCTCGATCGCTGCTGTCACTCATTCCTCAGTACCAGCTCGCACTCGCCCCTGCCCCACGACGTCATTCCATTCTGTATCGTCGCTTTTACAAATCATGCCAAGCGCTTTGAGTGATGGCCTCCTATGGAAATATTTTAAATTAGATTGGATATTGACTATGATGATGCTGATGCTTCCTGTTGAAGGGGATACCAATGGTGATGTTACTACTGATGATGGCGATAATGATGGTGATGACGCTGATCGTGGTGCCAACGATGATCATGCTCCTGATGCTGCTGATGCTACCGTTGATGCCGATGATTACGCAACCGCTGATACTGTTGTGGATTCTAATCCTGCTGCTACTGATGATAATGATAACACTGATTCTGATGCTGATGATAAAGATACTGCTGCTGCTTCTGATGATAACACTGATTCTTCTTGCTACTGCGTAGAATGATACTGCTGCTGATGATGATGATGATGAGGATATCCAACTACTCGTAATTATGCTGATGCTAATGATGCTGCGTCTGTTGCTGATTCTACTGATGCCAATGTTACTACCGGACTGCTGATGACGACACTGTATTACTTACTACCGCTGCTGCTGCTGCTGCTGATGATGATGATGATCCTGCTGCTGATGCTAATGCTGATGATGATCAGAACACTTTAATCACAGGAACGATTTAAGCACGAGCATCGCCGCACACGAACACCTGCGCCAGGTGAGAACACGTGACTCGTGGTGGTTGTGCAGGTGAGATGAACACACATAAATACAGACCCGCTCCCCTCTCACCCCTCCCCCTCTCTCACCCCTCTCACCCCTCCCCTCTAACCCCTCCCCTCCCCCTCTCTCATCCCTCCACCCTCCCCCTCTCACCGCTCCTCTCTTACTCCTCCACCTCTCCCCTCCAACCCTCCCCTGTTACCCCATCCCGCTCTCACCTCTCAGCCTCCCCCTCTCACCCCTCTCACCCTTCACCTCCCATCCCTAACCCGTCTGTCTCCTACGACCCTCCCACCACCGCACCTCGAAGACGCCGTCCCCTGTCCATTCGTCAGCACCCAGACCACGCCCCCTGACCCCCAGCTCCCTCCCCACTCCCTCACCGCCTCCCTCCCCCCACTCTCCACCAGACAACATCAGCAGAGTTACAGCTGGTGGACGGCTGCTCGGCCAGTGGCGCCCCTCTCTGCTACTCTCCCCTCACCATCACTGCTCCCCACACCTCTGCTTCGAACTCTCTGCTCCACATCCCCCCCCTTCCCCCGGCCTCTCCCCTTCCCTCCCTCCCTCCCTCCCTCCCCTCCCCTCCCTCCTTCCCTCCCTCCCTCCCCGCTCCGCCCCTCCCCTCCCTCCCTCCCTCCCTCCCCTCCCCTCCCTCCCTCGCCGACTCAATTTTCTCCCCGCCTCTCCCCACCACCGCCTCCTCTCTCATCTCCCCATTTCCCCTTCCATCTTCCAATCCCTCCCTCTCAGTCTCCCTTCTCTCTCCACCTCGTCTCTCTCTTTCCGCCGTCAAACCCTTACACTCCCTCCATGCAATCCCTCTCACTCCTCCCCATCTCTTTTCGTCTCTCCCCCTCCTTCCCTCCTTCCCACATCCTTCTCCTGCCCCCCCCCCCCTCTCCTCCATCTCTCTTCCCTCTCTCCCCCGCTCTCCTCTCTCCCCCTCTCTCTCCATCCCCAGCTCGTATCTCCTGCTGTCTCGTGAATTCAGCACCACGGACAGCACCGCCCCCTTCTCTCTCCCTCCCCTCTCCTTCCCCTCCACCCAATCTCTCCCCGCTCGTCTCCCGCTCTCATCTCTAATCCGTGCGCGTGCCGCCTCTCACGGGATGAGTAGTAGGGAACTGCGGGCTCAAAGCAAGGAGGACTGTACGGAGCGCCTGTGTGAGTGTGAGGGTCTCTGTGTGTGTTTTTGTGTGTATCAGTGTGTAAGGGTCTCTGTGTGTGGGGAGCGGTGGTGCAGCGGTTAGCGCTACGCTGCTGTGCTACGAACCCGGCGACCCGAGTTCGATTCCCGCTCTGTGCGTGAGTCTGTGTCTGTGTGTGAGTCTTTGTGTGAGTTTCCGTGTGTCAGCCTGTGCCTGTGTGTGAGTCTGTGTCTGAATCTCTGTGCGTGAGTCTGTGTGTGCGCGCCTGCCTGTGTGTGAGAGTCTTTGGGAAGCGGTAGTGTAGTGGTTATCGCGCTGCGCTACGAACCCCGGCGACCTGAGTTGGATTCACGCTCAGGGCCACCACCAGTGACGATTATTTGAACAGGTCCTGGGTCACCCCTAGGTCGACTCAGCCTTAAAAAAATACCTGGTGCAGTGTGTAACGGCGACCGGAGCGTGGTGCTGGCGACCCACCTCCGCGTGTACCGTGCCGGCCTTCATAGGATGCTGCTCGCTAACAGCACCTGCCCCAACAGTCCGTCGGAGGCTATACGGGGGACCTTTGTCTTTTGTGCGTGCGAGCGGTCAACTCACCGCTCTCTCCCTCCGATCTGTTCTCTTGCTCCGTGTCCGTGAGCGTGAGGGTTGAGTTGGCTCGGCTCGACAGACACGACCCACGACCAGTGCGGGAGACACCTCCACCTCCTCCACCTCCTCCACCACCTCCTCCTCCACCACCTCCTCCTCCACCACCTCCTCCACAGCCTCCGCCACCACCATCGCCAGCCCCGTAGAACCGCGCGCTCAAGTCCACGATTCTTCCTCCTCGCACCCCCAACCTTCTGCCCGTGTCGTCGACCTCATCATCATCTTCATCGTCGTCGTCGTCGTCGTCATCATCAGCACAACCTCCCGCCGCCAGACCTCCACCGATGACACCCACGGCACCACCAACACCACCAGCAGCATCGTGACGTCTCCCACCAGCAGCATTGTTCCCATCGTCATCATCGTCACCATCGTCACCATCGTCACCATCGTCATCATCGTCGTCGACGTCCTCTCCATATTCGTCTTCAGTTTTACTGGCCGAGCGCGGCAGGAGGAGGCCGGAGGCGAACGAGGAGGAGGAGAGGACCCCCATGACCCCCATGACCCCCGTTGACCCCACAGGAGCCGTACCCCCGCCGCTGTTGAGAGCCAGCGCCAGGCCACTGCTGGATCGGTTACCCGCGGGGAATGGTGGGCCGCCCCCTGGGCCCCCCATTCGGCTCATCTCCTTCAGAGTGAAATCTCCGCCTGCAACAGCAGCAGCAGCAGCAGCATTGGAAGCATCGTCATCGGCATCATCACCAGCAGCGGCATCAACAATAGCAGTGTCATCAGTAGTAGCACAGATACAGCAGCATTCGTAATACCACCACCACCACCACCACGATCCAGCATCATCAGCACTATCAGGAGCATTGTCATCAGTAGTGGCATCATCATCATCATCAACAGCAGAATTAGTGACAGCTTCATCATCATCATCACTCACAGCAGAAGCGACCACCAGTATCTCAACTCCCACCAGCACCGCCCTCACAACCACCAACACCACCACCACCACCACCAAAAACCACAAAGATCCCCCATATAGCCTTAACAGATTGTAGGGGCAAGTGCTGTTAGCGAGCACCTGTAAAGGCCGGCACGGCACACGAGGGGTGGGTGGCCAACACCACCCCGGCCGCCTTTGTCTCCCTAGTGACGATGTTTACTACACATCTCACCAGGTACTAATTTGAGACTGAGTCGACCTAGGGTAGGCCCAGGACCGGTTAAGATAATCGTCACCGGTGTTGGCCGTGAGCGGAAATCGAACCCGGGTCGCCAGGTTCGTAGCGCAGCGTGGCGCTGACCACTACACCATCACCACCCTCACCAGAACCACCCTCACCATCACCACCCTCACCATCACTACCCTCACCAGAACTACCCTCACCAGAACCACCCTCACCATCACCACCCTCACCAGAACCACTCTCACCATCACCACCCTCACCAGAACCACCCTCACCATCACCACCCTCACCAGAACCACCCTCACCAGAACCACCCTCACCAGAACCACCCTCACCATCACCACCCTCACCATCACCACCCTCACCATCACCACCCTCACCAGAACCACCCTCACCAGAACCACCCTCACCATCACCACCCTCACCAGAACCACCCTCACCAGAACCACCCTCACCATCCCCACCCTCACCATCACCACCCTCACCAGAACCACCCTCACCAGAACCACCCTCACCAGAACCACCCTCACCAGAACCACCCTCACCATCACCACCCTCACCAGAACCACCCTCACCAGAACCACCCTCACCAGAACCACCCTCACCATCACCACCCTCACCATCACCACCCTCATCAGAACCACCCTCACCAGAACCACCCTCACCATCACCACCCTCACCAGAACCACCCTCACCAGAACCACCACGCTCATCTCTACCACCATCACCACCAACACCACCACTAGAATCCTCACTATCCTCACCAGCACCAACAACAGCAACCGCCATTCCCCACAAAGTGGCGGTGACGTCACCACGGCGCTTGTGCCAGGCTAGGTGCACGTTGAGGCCACGTGAAGTGTCGAACGCCCGCTGGCAGGAGGTCAAGGGGGCAGACCCAGCAGGTGCCATGGGTCGACTGACTGAGATGACTGAGATGACTGGCTGATGCACCACCATCACCACCACCCTCACCACCCTCACCACCACCACCCTCACCACCACCACCACCACCACCACCCTCATCACCACCACCCTCATCACCACCACCACCACCACGACCATCTCTAGCACCCTCACCACCCTCACCACCCTCACCACCACCACCCTCATCACCACCACCACCACGACCATCTCTAGCACCCTCACCACCACCACCCTCACCACCACCACCCTCACCACCCTCACCACCACCCTCACCACCACCGCCCTCACCACCACCACCCTCACCACCACCACCACCCTCATCACCACCACCACCACCACCACGACCATCTCTAGCACCCTCACCACCCTCACCACCCTCCCCACCCTCACTACCTTCACCACCACCCTCACCACCACCACCACCCTCACCACCACCACCACCACCACCACCACGACCATCTCTAGCACCCTCACCACCCTCACCACCCTCACCACCACCACCCTCCTCACCACCACCACGACCATCTCTAGCACCCTCACCACCACCACCCTCACCACCACCACCACCACCACCCTCACCACCACCACCACCACCACGACCATCTCTAGCACCCTCACCACCCTCACCACCCTCCCCACCCTCACCACCCTCACCACCACCACCCTCACCACCACGACCATCTCTAGCACCCTCACCACCCTCACCACCACCACCCTCACCACCCTCACCACCACCACCCTCACCACCACCACCACCACCACCACGACCATCTCTAGCACCCTCACCACCCTCCCCACCCTCACCCCACCACGCTCACCTCTCACCGCGTGTCCCCCGGCCTCCGCCTCCCAGAGGGCCCCTCCGCGGGGGGGCCGCGTGGTGGTGCCGGGGCCCCGTGGAGGGGGTCCGCGCTGGGCCCCGCTCGGCCCCTGCTGTAGCCCCGCTGCGGGGCCCCGGGCGAGCAACGTCTCGCTGGAGCTGTACGACTTGGGCGGGGCCCGCGGCTCGGCCAGCCTCTCCCCGGCGTTGGCGCTCGCGTGCAGCAGCAGTGACCCCGACAGGCCCGGCGCCTGACCTTGACTTTGACCTTGACCTTGACCCTGGCCTTGTCCTTTGCCCTGGGCTGCGTTGTGGTGACGTCTCGCGCGGCGAGGTTTGGTCAGGGACCGGTACGAGCGCCGCTCCATGGACGCGTCCATCGTGGCGGCGGTGATGGTGGTGAGGATGAGATGGTGAGTTGGGTGAGGAGGTGGTGATAATGGTCGTGGTGGTACTGTGTTATTGTTGTTGTTGGTGGTGGTAGTGGTGGTGGTGGCTTTGTATGTATGTACGTTGGACTTCTTTCTCACCGTACTGAGCCAACCGTGCTAATCGGAGGTGCGGTTTTGTGGTGAGGAGGTGGAGGTTGTGGTGATGCTGAGTGGGGTGAGGATGAGGTGGTGGTGGTGATGAGGTGGGGGTTGTTGTGATGCTGAGTGGGGTGAGGATGGGGTGGTGGTGGTGAGGAGGTGAAGGTTGCGGTGATGCTGAGTGGGGTGAGGAGGGAGTGGTGGTGGTGAGGAGGTGTATGTTGTGGTGATGCTGAGTGGGGTGAGGAGTGGGTGGTGGTGAGGAGGTGTAGGTTGTGGTGATACTGAGTGGGGTGAGGGGGGAGTGGCAGTGGTGAGTTGGTGAGGAAGTGGTAGTGGTGGGAAGCTGTTAAGATCGTGGAAGTGGAATTAGTTAGAATTGATGGTGGTGGTGGTGGTGGTGGTTAGTAGTGGTGCGCTGGTTGTTGCGATGGTGGTGGCGAGTTAGCAGTCGTCTCCTGGCAGACTCGACCTCCTGCATACCAGGCGAAGGAGGTGACATCAGATCGCATCGATTCATTGCTGTGCTGCCAAATACCGAACGATCACCTTGCAACTCAAGCCTAGAGCATCTGGGATGCCAAAGCACCACCACCCCCTTTCAAATCCAAGCGTTAACCAGGCACACACCTGCTTAGCCTAGTTGTGTTTCCACGTGCACGGTGCATGCGCGTTGCACGTGTGTGTGGTCACGTGTATCTGCGAAGGAGCGGTGGCGCAGCGGTTAGCGCTGCGCTGCATTGCAGACCCGGCGACCCGGGTTCAATTCCCGCTCACGGCCACCAACACCAGTGACGATTATCTGAACCGGTCCTGGGCATCCCCTCGGTCGACCCGGCCTCAAATGAGTACCTGGTGCGGTGTGTAGTAAACATCGCCACTGGGGAGACAAAGGCGGCTGGGGCTGGTGTTGGCCACCCACCCCCTCGTGTGCCGTGTCGGCCTTCATAGGTGCTCGCTAACAGCACTTGCCCCTACAGTCTGCTAAGGTTATACGGGGGATCTTTATCTTGCGTGTATGCATGTGTGTGTATGCATGTGTGTGTATGCACGTGTGTGTGTGTATGCACGTGTGTGTATATGTGTGTACACGTGTGTGTGTGTATATGTATACAGATTGCGTTGGTTCAATTATCCGCGCCATTACCCACACAACCACCCACGTATTTATATTCCCTTGGCCGGTACAATCACAGCCGTAAATCCACACCGCCACCAACTCATTAATCGGGCCCCCCCCCACCCCCCCTTCGGGAGACAACAACGGTAGGAGTCGTCTTTCGCGTGTCTGCATCTTTTGACTCATCTCATCGGCCTCGACATGCAGTGTCTCATCAGCAGCAGTCAGGTTCTGCTTGAATCAGTGCTCGTGAACTAACCCAGACGTTCATGGACAAGGATCGGTTTCGACATGCAGTGTCTCATCAGCAGCATGATGCTTGCATCAATGCTGGCCAGGTGTTATGGGCACGGACCCCCTCGATCTTAGACGTGGGTTCTAGTTTGATGCAAACCTCGATATACCTTGATAGAATATATCAGTCACTAAATAAATGAGCAATTCGCTTCCTTCTCCACAGGATAAACCCACTGTGGGCGTCCCCACAAAGTGGTGTTTCCTTTGCTCACTTTATCGGCCCCGGAGAGAGGGATGATGATGATGATGATGATGGGCCGAGTCAAAATCCCAAATCAGGATCTGAACTCACGCGCTAATAGTCACTCGCTGTGCCGCAGGGCCACGGGGGGGGGGAGGCCTCAAGCCAGATGGGGCTGCTGATGATGATGATGACGATGATGATACTACTGCTGCTGATGATACTACTACTGCTGATGACGCTGCTGCTGATGATGATACTATTGCTGTTGATGATACAACTACTGCTGATGACGCTGCTGCTGCTGCTGATGATGATACTATTGCTGTTGATGATACTACTACTGCTGATGACGCTGCTGCTGCTGATGATGATACTTCTGCTGCTGATGATACTACTACTGCTGATGACGCTGCTGCTGCTGATGATGATACTACTGCTGCTGATGATGACACTACTGCTGCTGATGATGATGATACTACTGCTGCTGATGATGACACTGCTGATGATGATGATACTACTGCTGCTGATGATGACACTGCTGATGATGACACTGCTGCTGATGATGACACTACTGCTGCTGCTGATGATGATACTACTGCTGCTGATGATGACACTACTGCTGCTGCTGATGATGATACTACTGCTGCTAATGAAACTACTACTGCTGCTGCTGATGATGATACTACTGCTGCTGATGATGACACTGCTACTGCTGATGATGATACTACTGCTGCTGATGATATTACTATTGCTGCTGATGATACTACTATTGCTGCTGCTGATGATGACACTGCTGCTGATGACGACACTGCTGCTGCTGCTGATGATGCTACTGCTGCTGATGATGAAACTACTACTGCTGATGATGATGATGATGACACTACTGCTGCTGATGATACTACTATTGCTGCTGATGATATTACTATTGCTGCTGATGATACTACTATTGCTGCTGCTGATGATGACACTACTGCTGCTGATGACACTACTGCTGCTGATGACACTACTGCTGCTGACACTACTGCTGCTGCTGATGATTACACTGCTGCTGATGATACTACTGCTGATGATGATCATACTACTGCTGCTGATGATACTACTACTGCTGATGACGCTGCTGCTGCTGCTGATGATGATACTACTGTTGCTGCTGCTGATGATACTACTGCTGCTGATGATGACACTGCTGCTGCTGATGATGATGATATTACTGCTGCTAATGAAACTACTACTGCTGCTGATGATGATGACACTACTGCTGCTGATGATACTACTATTGCTGCTGATGATACTACTCTTGCTGCTGATGATACTACTATTGCTGCTGATGATGATGACACTACTGCTGCTGATGACACTACTGCAGCTGATGACACTGCTGCTGCTGATGACACTACTGCTGCTGATGACACTACTGCTGCTGCTGCTGATGACACTGCTGCTGATGATGATACTATTGCTGATGAAGATGATACGACTACTGCTGCTTATAATTATAATACTGATGATGAAATTTAATGATGATACTGGTGCTGATGATACTTGTGATGATAATTATCATACTGATTTCTTTGATAATTATGATGATATTATTGCTGATAATGATGATGATAATGATGATACTGCTGCTGATGATGACTGCTTCTGTTGATAATTATGATGATTCTACTGCTGCTGCTGCTGATGATAACGATGATGATTTTAATGATTATATTACTGCTGATGACGATATCCATGGCACTACTTCTGCTAATGATTATAAAATTGCTCCAGATGGCTGATTATTATTTCACTGCTGCTGCTGATGATACTGCTGCTGATGATACTGCTGCTGATGATACTGCTGCTGCTGCTGATGATGATGATGAGAGTAATGCTGCTGATGATGATGACCGTAGTGAACTAGCAGGGGCGAGTTTGACCTTGACTCCCAGCTGGTCCCCACGTGGTCCACACAGCCACGGATATCCCTCGCTCGCGTCTGACAATCGGTGGGAGAGTCGCGGTGCTGATTTCGGTGGCTAGGAGATGTTAACTACCTCGCCTGGTATACAGGAGGTCGTGGGTTCGATCCCGACCCTGACGCCTGCTGCTGTATATTTGGAGTTTGCGTGTCTCTCTCTCTCCCGTGGTGAGATGTTAACTACCTCGCCTGGTCTACAGGAGGTCGGGGGTTCCATCCCGACCCTGACGCCTGCTGCTGTATATTTGGAGTTTGCGTGTCTCTCTCTCTCCATGGTGAGATGTTAACTACCTCGCCTGGTATACAGGAGGTCGTGGGTTCCATCCCGACCCTGACGCCTGCTGCTGTATATTTGGAGTTTGCGTGTCTTTCTCTCTCTGTGGTGAGATGTTAACTACCTCGCCTGTACTACAGGAGGTCGTGGGTTCGATCCCGACCCTGACGCCTGCTGCTATATATTTGGAGTTTGCGTGTCTCTCTCTCTCTCTCTGTGGTCGCGTGGATTTTGTCTCCGAGTCCTCCACATTTAGAATCAACATCGCTGCGCGTTGAGAGAGTTTTGGCTGCCGCTGTTCATTGTCACGCCGAGAAGCCACCCCGTTGGGCTATCGTTTTGCCATAACAATGGTCGCTTCTGAACAAGAAAGCTGCCACATAGCTCAGTGGGCACCCTTGCCTGGTAAAATACAAATATACTTTTTTAGTTTATTTGATATTTACCGAAGGTGTACGTGAAATAACGGGGGTGTGCCTCCCCCCCCCCCCCACACCGCCCCCCCTCGCCTATGACAGCAAAATCCCAAAAGCTCTCCCCCAAATCTCCTACCTCCACTCCCCCCCTCCTCGCCTCACTTCTTCATCTACCCAGCTCGATCACTTCTTCATTTAGCCGGTCGCCATCCGCCTGCCGGGGCGAACTCCGCCACACCAGGCGAGCCGCCAGCACGTGAACCCGGGCCACGTGTCGCCTCCCAGCCGGCACGGGTCACGTTCGACACGCAACTCACTCGCCCAGTACTCGAAGCGGTGTTGACCAGACGCACGAGCGCCCACACGACGGGACGTGATGATGAGACGCCCATCCGTGCATCGAATCCGTAAACCCAGACGCACGGTCGCAACAGCAACAACAACATGGACAAAGATCCCCCGTGTAGCCTGTAACGGACTATTGGGGCAAGTGCTGTTAGCGAGTAGCAGCACCTATGCAGGCCGGCACGGCACGCGATGGGGTGAGTGGCGATGTTCACAAATCGCACCAGGTACTCATTTGAGGCCGCTTCGACCTAGGGGAGGCCCAAGACTGGTTCAGATCATCGTCACCGGGGTCGGTGGCCGTGAGCGGGAGTCGAACTCTGGTGGCCTGGGTTCGCAGCGCAGCGTAGCGCCGACCGCTAGAACTACCA